AGCAGTTTTAGATATTTTTTGGGATGGGGTTTGGATCTTTTTGGGAGCAGGTTTAGATATTTTTTGAGAACAGGTTTAGATATTATTTGGGGAGTAGGTTTGGATATTTTTAGGAGCAGGTATTTTTTGGGATCCAGTTTAGATATTTTTTAGGAGCAAGTTTGGATGTTTTTTGGGAGCGGGTTTGGATATTTTTGGGAGCAGGTTGGGATGTGATTTGGAATCAGGTTTAGATATTTTTGGGAGAAGGTTTGGATATTTCTGGGAGCAGGTTGGGATATTTTTTGGGAGCAGCTTTGGATATTTTTTGGGAGCAGGTTGGGATATTTTTGGAGCAGGTTTGGATATTTTTAGGAGCAGGTTTAGATATTTTTTAGGAGTAGGTTTGGATTTTTTTTGGAGCAGGTTTGGATATTTTTGGAGCAGGTTTGGATGTTTTTAGGGAGCAGGTTTGGATCTTTTTTGGGAGCAGGTTTGGATCTTTTTGGGAGCAGGTTGGGATGTGATTTGGAATCAGGTTTAGATATTTTTGGGAGCAGGTTTGGATCTTTTTGGGAGCAGGTTTGGATATTTTTTGGGAGCAGGTTGGGATACTTTTTGGGAAAAGATTTGGATGTTATTTGGGAGCAGGTTTGGATATTTTTAGGATCACGTTTTGATATTTTTTGGGAGCAGGTTGGGATATTTTTGGGAGCAGGAGCCACCTGATCCTGCCTTATCCCACCCGGATTTAAACTCCTGCGGGTTCCTCACAAGGATATTTGGGAATTCCCCCTTTCCCAGCTGCTCCATGGGCTCTGTTTTCCAGGAATTCCTTTGCCAGACCCTTTGTTACTTCCCAAATCCTTTGGGATCAGCTGGGAGAGCAGAACTCCTGGAATTGTCACGAGTTCCCTTGGGAAGAGCCTCAGACTCTGGGAAAGGTTTGGGGTGAAAACTGAGGAATTTGGGCCAAGCCCAACTCCCCCTTCCCCCCTCTGGGAGGGGCCTGAGGCTTCCCAGCCCCCAAATTAGGCCAGGATTAAACTCCCTCCTCCCTTCCCGGGGGTTTTCCAGCCCTGAAACGCTCCCGGGGTTATTCCAGAGCCTCTGGAATGAGGTTGGGATCCCAGCCTGGGATATCCCAGCTCGGGGAGAGGAAAACTGGGAGCTTTGGATAAATCTGGGGGGGCTCCAGACCGACCTGGAGCTGCCCTGAGGTTTTCCTGGGATGTAAGTCCGGGTTTTTTCCTGTTTTCCAGGTACGAGGATGAAATCCGGCTCTGCAGCGGGATGGAATTCACCTTCATGGAGCTCAAAAAGGTGGGTGGGGGGGGAAAATCCCACCAGGATGGGCTGGGAAAGGCTGGGATTGGGAAATCTGGGATCTGGGTGGGCTCAGGAGAGCCTGGAGATAATCCAGGCTCAGCCAGTCCTGATCCCACTGCTGGTTTTGGGGGATAAAGGTCTGCAGGAGGAGCTTGGAGTGGTGGAACATTCCCAAATCCAGCAGGAATGGGGGGTCTGAGATTCCCAGGAGACCCCTCTGGGTGACACCAGGGCTGGGAAAGGCTGGGATTGATCCCTGAGCAGCTCTGGGTGGGCTCAGGAGAGCCTGGAGATAATCCAGGCTCAGCCAGGACCAGCAGTCCTGGTCCCACAGGGCTGGTTTTGGGGGATAAAAAGGTCTGGAGCAGGACAGGGAGTGGTGACCCCAATTCCAAAGGGAGTCTGGGCCACGTGTGGCTCCCAAAAAACCCTGGAGTGGCTCAGAAGGGCCTGGAGATGGTCCAGGCTCAGCCAGGACCAGCAGTCCTGATCCCACTGCTGGTTTTGGGGGATAAAGGTCTGGAGGAGGAGCTTGGAGTGGTGGAACATTCCCAAATCCAGCAGGAATGGGAGTGGAAGCACCTGTCCATGGGCAGGGACACCTCCCACCATCCCAGGGGGATCCAACCCGGCCTTGGACACTCCCAGGGATCCAGGGGCAGCCACAGCTCCTCTGGGAATCCCATCCCAGGGCCTGCCCACCCTCCCAGCCAGGAATTCCTTCCCA